AACAAGAACCTTGTTTCATGACATCACAGGCGTCAGTTAGATGACAGCCTGATGAGCTGTGTTAAGTACTTCCTGAACTACTTCTTCTACAAGTTTGGACTTGAGGTGAGATGCTCACATATTAGCATTAGCATAGCATCAAGCTAAACTTTCTCTGTTTAGTGCTTCTCAACTCTTCTTCTCCTCAGACCTGCTTCCTGTTGGCTGTGAACGTGATTGGTCAACGGATGGATCTCTTTGCTGCATGTCAAGCTCTCGCCTCATCATGTCCTATCACAGCGCAGCAGAAGCGCATCAGCTCTGTGTGCCTAATACTGCTACTTCCTGTCAGGCTGTTGTGTTTCCAGTACCTGTGTGTATTGGATTCCCTCCGGCGACATGTAAAGGTACAAACTCACCTGTAGAGTTAATGTGACCTGTACAGTACTGACTGACCTGTAGAGCTAAGGACACAGTTGAGCTAAGCTAAAATTCTCCTGCTACATGTCGTTGTGCTTAGTGCTAAGCTAACTGTTTCCCCTTGTTTTAAACTCTGTGGTTTCATTTTCAGATTATCCTTGGAGACCTCCATCCTCAAAACGTGGACTCCAATGTTGTTAAGTGCTCTCCTCCCGGATCACCTAACACCACCAAACCCACTCTTCCTCCTCTGTAAGATCATCCTCACCAGATTTCTCTCAGCTCCACTTCATGTTCAAAAGAAAAATATCCATAGATTCAAAGGAACAACCTGCCGACACTTATATCTTCACAGGGTTTACATCACTTATCAAAGAGCTCAATCCATACCTGCTTTATATCCTGAAATCAAAGTCAAAATGGATTCTTTTTATAAATTATTTTTTTAAGATGAATTCATAAATTGTGGAGTTGGTGCTTCAGTAAAAACAGATGTTGAAGTGTATTTCTTAGTGTCAGGGTTACATATATTATTAGATTATATACAGATAATAATATACAGATTAAATACATCAAATCATAACATTCAGGTTTTAGGTTGGTTAGTGGATTTGAAAGTGACCACAAGGCCAGAAAAACAAGATTAAAATCTAATTTTAATCTTTAATTGTTTTGATGACCAAGTTTTACAAACCTGGACATTTGGATTGTTCTTCAATATAATGAAAATGCAAATTCACATATGTTCAGATCAAAGTTTGTTCACTGATATTTTCCTGATCTCTCAGACGACTTCATGCTCCTCCTCGGAGCTTCCCTGCAGCTGCAAGTGTTTGAGGAGGAGCTCGAGGCGTCGGTTCAGCTCCTTGCAGGAGATAACTGTGAGCTGGATGAAGATGAAGGACATGTCTGTGATCCAATCCGAAAGCTTCATGTCAGTACGGTCCCTGACTTTATGATGTGCAGGTAAACACTGCCCTCTGTGCACCTGTCACTCTGTCTTCCTGTTGACCTGTTTCTCTGTCTGACCCTGACCTCTGGCTGTGCAGGTCTTATCTGGATAATGATGAAGGTGATCATCTTCTGTTACATGTTCTGGTTTGTCCTCACTGTCATCTTCATCACTGGACCACCAGGTGAGTGGGTGGAGCAACAGGTACCTTAAACATTTTTAACATGTTTCCCCAAAATGTAGGCTCAGTATGTCCTGTCCGGTGACAGGTGTCTACTTCCTGTTCTAGGATCAGTATGTCCTGTCCCGGTGACAGGTGTCTACTTCCTGTTCTAGGATCAGTATGTCCTGGGTCGGTGACAGGTGTCTACTTCCTGTTCTAGGATCAGTATGTCCTATCCCGGTGACAGGTGTCTACTTCCTGTTCTAGGATCAGTATGTCCTGGTGACAGGTGTCTACTTCCTGTTCTGGATCAGTATGTCCTGTCCCGGTGACAGGTGTCTACTTCCTGTTCTAGGATCAGTATGTCCTATCCGGTGACAGGTGTCTACTTCCTGTTCTAGGATCAGTATGTCCTGGTGACAGGTGTCTACTTCCTGTTCTAGGATCAGTATGTCCTGTCCCGGTGACAGGTGTCTACTTCCTGTTCTAGGATCAGTATGTCCTGTCCCGGTGACAGGTGTCTACTTCCTGTTCTAGGATCAGTATGTCCTGGGTCGGTGACAGGTGTCTACTTCCTGTTCTAGGATCAGTATGTCCTGTCCCGGTGACAGGTGTCTACTTCCTGTTCTAGGATCAGTATGTCCTGTCCCGTGACAGGTGTCTACTTCCTGTTCTAGGATCAGTATGTCCTGGGTCGGTGACAGGTGTCTACTTCCTGTTCTAGGATCAGTATGTCCTGGTGACAGGTGTCTACTTCCTGTTCTAGGATCAGTATGTCCTGTCCCGTGACAGGTGTCTACTTCCTGTTCTAGGATCAGTATGTCCTATCCCGGTGACAGGTGTCTACTTCCTGTTCTGGATCAGTATGTCCTGTCCCGGTGACAGGTGTCTACTTCCTGTTCTAGGATCAGTATGTCCTATCCCGGTGACAGGTGTCTACTTCCTGTTCTAGGATCAGTATGTCCTATCCCGGTGACAGGTGTCTACTTCCTGTTCTAGGATCAGTATGTCCTGGTGACAGGTGTCTACTTCCTGTTCTAGGATCAGTATGTCCTATCCCGGTGACAGGTGTCTACTTCCTGTTCTAGGATCAGTATGTCCTGTCCCGGTGACAGGTGTCTACTTCCTGTTCTAGGATCAGTATGTCCTGTCCCGGTGACAGGTGTCTACTTCCTGTTCTGGGATCAGTATGTCCTATCCCGGTGACAGGTGTCTACTTCCTGTTCTGGGATCAGTATGTCCTGGGTCGGTGACAGGTGTCTACTTCCTGTTCTAGGATCAGTATGTCCTGTCCCGGTGACAGGTGTCTACTTCCTGTTCTGGGATCAGTATGTCCTGTCCCAGTGACAGGTGTCTACTTCCTGTTCTGGGATCAGTATGTCCTGTCCCGGTGACAGGTGTCTACTTCCTGTTCTGGGATCAGTATGTCCTGTCCCGGTGACAGGTGTCTACTTCCTGTTCTGGGATCAGTATGTCCTATCCCGGTGACAGGTGTCTACTTCCTGTTCTAGGATCAGTATGTCCTGTCCCGGTGACAGGTGTCTACTTCCTGTTCTAGGATCAGTATGTCCTGTCCCGGTGACAGGTGTCTACTTCCTGTTCTGGGATCAGTATGTCCTATCCCGGTGACAGGTGTCTACTTCCTGTTCTAGGATCAGTATGTCCTGGGTCGGTGACAGGTGTCTACTTCCTGTTCTAGGATCAGTATGTCCTGTCCCGGTGACAGGTGTCTACTTCCTGTTCTGGGATCAGTATGTCCTGTCCCGGTGACAGGTGTCTACTTCCTGTTCTGGGATCAGTATGTCCTGGGTCGGTGACAGGTGTCTACTTCCTGTTCTGGATCAGTATGTCCTGGTCGGTGACAGGTGTCTACTTCCTGTTCTAGGATCAGTATGTCCTGTCCCGGTGACAGGTGTCTACTTCCTGTTCTGGGATCAGTATGTCCTATCCCGGTGACAGGTGTCTACTTCCTGTTCTGGATCAGTATGTCCTGGGTCGGTGACAGGTGTCTACTTCCTGTTCTAGGATCAGTATGTCCTGTCCGGTGACAGGTGTCTACTTCCTGTTCTGGGATCAGTATGTCCTATCCCGGTGACAGGTGTCTACCCTGTTCTAGGATCAGTATGTCCTGTCCCGGTGACAGGTGTCTACCCTGTTCTAGGATCAATATGTCCTGTCCCGGTGACAGGTGTCTACTTCCTGTTCTGGGATCAGTATGTCCTATCCGGTGACAGGTGTCTACTTCCTGTTCTAGGATCAGTATGTCCTATCCCGGTGACAGGTGTCTACTTCCTGTTCTAGGATCAGTATGTCCTGTCCCGGTGACAGGTGTCTACCTGTTCTAGGATCAGTATGTCCTGTCCTGGTGACAGGTGTCTACTTCCTGTTCTAGGATCAGTATGTCCTTGTGACAGGTGTCTACTTCCTGTTCTAGGATCAGTATCTTCTGTATGGTTACCTGGTGGCCTGTTTCTACTTCCTGCTGGTGGGCGGAGACTTGCTGCTGAAACCAGTCAGATCCATCCTGTTGTACTGGGACTGTCTGATTGGTTACAACGTGTTCGTCATCACCATGAAGAATATTCTGTCGGTGAGATAAGTCATTACCCGATCAAGAATATTTTATAATTATTATTTTTTGAGAACTAAGAGGTGTGTGCGTGTGCGTGTGCGTGTGCGTGTGCGTGTGCGTGTGCGTGTGCGTGTGCGCGTGTCTCTCTCTCAGATCCTGGCCTGTGGTTTCATTAAGTCGTTGGTCTTGAATCACTGTTGGTTGATTCAGCTCTTCTCATTGGCCTGCACCATCAAAGGATACACTAAACGTATGTCTGTCCATCTACCTGTCTCACTGTCTGTCTCTCTGTCTACCTGTGTTGTTTACTTGTTTTTGTTTATGTTTGTTTAACTTGGTGCAGCGGAGCAGCAGAGCAGTAAACAGTGTGAGTTGCCGAGCGACGAGCGGGATCATCTGGGACGGTGTATGTTTCTGTTTCCTGTTACTGCAGAGACGAGTCTTCAGGAGCAACTACTTCCTGTTTGTGTCCTGGACCTGCAACACACACAACTACTGGCCTCCAGGTACACACACACACATACACACACATACGGTTCAGACGGCTTGCCTCCCCCCACCCCCTTGCTCCCTATCCCTCTTCCTGCATCTCATCCCATCTCTCCCCCTATCCCTTTCCAACCCCGGTGCAGTCTAGACCTGTGAAGGCTGTTTCGTCATGAGCCGGGGATCCAGCCGAAGATTTCTGCCTTTTAATAAGAACGTTTTTTCTTATCACTGTAACTTTTGCTGCTTTGCTAAAGTGCTCATGATGGATAGACCGGGTCTTCGTTATATAACAATGAGTAAGGTCTTTTACCTGCTTTTTGTAAGATAACAATGAGTAAGGTCTTTTACCTCCTTTTTGTGTCTCGAGATAACACTTGTTATGAGTTGACAAATAAAAATTGATTGATTGATTGATTGATGACACATCAACATGATGTGACGGCATGTGTGTTGCAGGGGGGCGGAGCTCTTCCAGGCGTCCACAGTGAAAGCTGTCAGGGCCAGACTCGAGGATGAGAAGACGTCCATGGATCTGCTGAAGAGACAGTAAGACTCAAACCCAGACCAACCATCAGATTCAGACCATCATGTCCAGAACATGAGGTCCAGACCATCGGGTATAAGCCCTCAGGTCCAGACCATTAGGTCCAGACAATCAGGTCCAGAACATCAGGTTCAGACAATCAGGTTCAGACACTCAGCAGTAGCCCAACAGGTCCAGACACATCAGTTCAGACCTTCAGGTCTAGACCATTATGAGCAGACCAACAGACTCAGACCAGCTGAATGTTTGCACACATTTACCTAGAGAGACTAGAGGGACTAGCTAGAGACTAGAGGGACTAAATAAACTGAGGAACTAGAAAGCGTAGAGGAAGTATAGAGACAAGAGGAACTATAGAGAACACTAGAGAGAATCTAGACTCTAGAGAGATTGGGGGGACTAGTTAGATTAGAGAGACTAGAGGAACTATAGAGACCACTAGAGAGAATGTAGACTCTACAGAGACTGGGGGGACTAGAGGAACTATAGAGACCACTAGAGAGAATGTAGACTCTACAGAGACTGGGGGGACTAGAGGAACTATAGAGACCACTAGAGAGAATGTAGACTCTACAGAGACTGGGGGGACTAGAAGAACTATAGAGATCACTAGAGAGAATGTAGACTCTACAGAGACTGGGGGGATTAGAGGAACTATAGAGACCACTAGAGAGAATGTAGACTCTACAGAGACTGGGGGGACTAGTTGGACTAGAACCTGTCTACCTGACTTGGACTTGTGTGTGTTCCTTTAGGATGGAGAGGATTAAATCTCGACAGCAGAAGTTCCGCAGAGGAAAAGAGAAGATGTTGAGTTTGACCCAAGAAGGCTTCCGTACTGATGGTGTGTAAACAAAGCTGTTGCCGTGGAGACAGTGTGTGATACACAGCTGTCAATCAAAGTTTAACTGTTGATGTGCCTTAAAGGTCAAGAGAATAAGAAGAAGGGACAGAGACAGAAGGAGTGGTGGAGGCCCTGGGTAAACCACGCCTCAAGTGAGTTACATGACCTTTCTGTCTGTCTGTCTGTCTGACTGCCTGTCTGTCTGTCTGTGTGTCTGTCTGTCTGTCTGACTGCCTGTCTGTCTGTCTGTGTGTCTGTGTGTGTGTGTGTCTGTCTGTCTGTCTGTCTGTCTGTCTGTCTGTGTGACTGCCTGTCTGTCTGTGTGTCTGTCTGACTGTCTGTCTGTCTGTCTGTCTGACTGCCTGTCTGTCTGTCTGTGTGTCTGTCTGACTGCCTGTCTGTCTGTCTGTGTGACTGCCTGTCTGTCTGTGTGTCTGTCTGTCTGACTGTCTGTCTGTCTGTCTGTCTCTCTGTCTGTCTGTCTGTCTGTCTGTCTGTCTGTCTGTGTGTGTCTGTCTGTCTGTCTGTCTGTCTGTGTGACTGCCTGTCTGTCTGTGTGTCTGTCTGACTGTCTGTCTGTCTGTCTGACTGCCTGTCTGTCTGTCTGTGTGTGTCTGTCTGTCTGTCTGTCTGTCTGTCTGTGTGACTGCCTGTCTGTCTGTGTGTCTGTCTGACTGTCTGTCTGTCTGTCTGACTGCCTGTCTGTCTGTCTGACTGACTGACTGACTGCCTGTCTGTCTGTCTGTCTGCAGTGGTAAGGAGTGGGGATTATTACCTGTTTGAGACTGACAGTGAGGAGGAGGAGGAGGAGGAGGAGAAAAAAGGGGAGGAGCCACCTGAGAAATCAGCCTTCCAGGTGAGTGTGGTGATTGTGTTGTGATCTGCTCAGACTCTTCAGATAACAGGTGAGTAGAATCAGAGATGCTGAATACGTCCTTAATCCGTTCAATGTTAATTATCAGCGTTATCTCTTTCATTTAAAAGTGATTTTTGATACACAGATGTGTAGATTGTAGCTGCTGTAGTGGTCTGACAGATGTGTAGATTGTAGCTGTGGTGTCTGACAGATGTGTAGATTGTAGCTGCTGTGGTGGTCTGACAGATGTGTAGATTGTAGCTGTGGTGGTCTGACAGATGTGTAGATTGTAGCTGTGGTGGTCTGACAGATGTGTAGATTGTAGCTGCTGTGGTGGTCTGACAGATGTGTAGATTGTAGCTGTGGTGGTCTGACAGATGTGTAGATTGTAGCAGCTGTGGTGGTCTGACAGATGTGTAGATTGTAGCTGCTGTGGCGGTCTGACAGATGTGTAGATTGTAGCTGCTGTGGTGGTCTGACAGATGTGTAGATTGTAGCTGCTGTGGCGGTCTGACAGATGTGTAGATTGTAGCTGTGATGGTCTGACAGATGTGTAGATTGTAGCTGTGGTGGTCTGACAGATGTGTAGATTGTAGCTGTGATGGTCTGACAGATGTGTAGATTGTAGCTGTGGTGGTCTGACAGATGTGTAGATTGTAGCTGCTGTAGTGGTCTGACAGATGTGTAGATTGTAGCTGTGGTGGTCTGACAGATGTGTAGATTGTAGCTACTGTGTTGGTCTGACAGATGTGTAGATTGTGGTGGTCTGACAGATGTGTAGATTGTAGCTGCTGTTGTGGTCTGACAGATGTGAAGATTGTGGTGGTCTGACAGATGTGTAGATTGTAGCTGCTGTTGTGGTCTGACAGATGTGAAGATTGTGGTGGTCTGACAGATGTGTAGATTGGAGCTGTAGTGGTCTGACAGATGTGTAGATTGTAGCTGCTGTTGTGGTCTGACAGATGTGAAGATTGTGGTGGTCTGACAGATGTGTAGATTGTAGCTGCTGTTGTGGTCTGACAGATGTGAAGATTGTGGTGGTCTGACAGATGTGTAGATTGTAGCTGCTGTTGTGGTCTGACAGATGTGAAGATTGTGGTGGTCTGACAGATGTGTAGATTGTAGCTGCTGTTGTGGTCTGACAGATGTGAAGATTGTGGTGGTCTGACAGATGTGTAGATTGGAGCTGCTGTGGTGGTCTGACAGATGTGAAGATTGTGGTGGTCTGACAGATGTGTAGATTGGAGCTGCTGTGGTGGTCTGACAGATGTGAAGATTGTGGTGGTCTGACAGATGTGTAGATTGGAGCTGTGGTGGTCTGACAGATGTGTAGATTGTAGCTGCTGTAGTGGTCTGACAGATGTGTAGATTGTAGCTGTAGTGGTCTGACAGATGTGTAGATTGTAGCTGTAGTGTCTGACAGATGTGTAGATTGTAGCTGCTGTAGTGGTCTGACAGATGTGTAGATTGTAGCTGCTGTGTTGGTCTGACAGATGTGTAGATTTGTCTGCTGTGGTAGATTTTGTGTAATGTTTTCTGAGTATCATGGCCTCTAAAGAACTCACATTTTAAGAAGCTGATGTTTTTGTTGTGTGATTGACCGGTCAAAGTTTATATAAAATTTCTTCATTTGAATCAGCTGATCCAACATACACAAGTGGTTCGTTATGTATAGAGGCTGTAGTCCTCCAAGCGGTTGGCCCGGGCTCGAATCCAACCATTGGGCTCCTTTCCCGCATTTCATTCCCCCCTCTGTGCTGTGGATGGGACAGGAGCAGCCTCACAAAGATCTGAGCACAAATGGGATCCAAGTCTGTCAAGGTGAAAAACCATGTGATGTCATCTTTTGTCTGTTTGCCAGTTTGTCTATCACGCCTGGATTACAGACTCCAGAACAGCTATGAGAGCGCGCATAAACCAAAAAAAACTGAGGAAGAAGACTTCCTGTGAACCAAGGAGCAGGAAGGAGGAGCCCCGAGGAGGTGAGCAGGATGACGTCTGAATCATGTTCATTTATTCTTTACTCTGATAGTTCTGTCGTCCAAACTAAAAACATCGATTTATTGAAGCCCCCCCCATCACCCTCACATTCAGATCAGATCACTCCGCGTTCCACCAGAACAATCTTTTGCAGATTAGAGATTAAATCAAATGAACTTCTCGACATTCTACAATTCTACAATTCACTTAGCAGACGCTTTTATCCAAAGCGACGTACATCAGAGAGTAAGTACAACACAAGCAGGGATCTAGAAAAAAGGAACAATGTGAGTAAGAGCAAACGATCAGCTTTGAGTCTGATTGGACACACAGGTGCTGACAGGAAGTGACCAGAGGCAAAGCACAACATTGACAGCAGTTCTTGAGAGCTCTAATCAGTATAGAAACCATCTTATAAGTCATCGTTATCAAACAAAAACAATCGTGACAACCATCATCATCATCAATGATATCGAAACCATCATCATTAAGTTAGTAGGTATTCATGAAAGAGCTGGGTCTTTAGCTTTTTCTTAAAGGTGCAGAGGGACTCTGCAGATCGAATGGAGTTTGGAAGTTCATTCCACCACCGGGGGGCGACAGAGGAGAAGAGTCTAGTCAGAGACTTAGGACCCTGTTGTGAAGGTTGGATCAGATGCCTTTCATTGGCAGAGCGTAGTGGGGGAGGGAGTGTAGACCTGGATGAGAGAGTTAAACTAAGGAGGAGCCGTTTTAGTCGCTGTTTTGTAAGCGAGCAGCAGAGTTTCAAATTTGATGCCAGTGTAAGGAGATGAACAGCGGAGTAACATGTGCTCTTTTAGGAAGGTTGAAGACCAGATGTGCTGCTGCATTGTGTATCATTTGCAGAGGTTTGATAGTGCATGTAGGAAGACCTGCCAGTAGAGAGTTGCAATAGTCGATGTGTAATATCACAAGAGCCTGTACCAGGAGCTGTATAGCGTGTTCTGACAGGTAAGGTCTGATCTTCCTGATGTTGTACAGGGCAAATCGACATGACCGGGCAATCGAAGCTACTTGAACCTTAAAAGTTAGCTGGTCATCAATCATGACACCCAGGTTCCGGGCAGACTTTGTGAGCATGAGTTTGGTTGTTCCAAGCTGGATATTGATCTGTGGTTGCATAGAGGGACTGGCTGGGATGACAAGGAGCTCAGTCTTTGAAAGATTGAGTTGAAGGAGCCGTTCATTCATCCATTTAGAGATATCAGCAAGGCATGATGAGATTCTTGCAGAGACTGTAACATCGTCTGGCGGGAATGAGAGGAAGAGCTGGGTATCGTCAGCATAGCAGTGGTATGAGAAGCCATGAGAACCAAGTGAGCTTGTGTATGTGGAGAAGAGAAGGGGACCAAGCACTGACCCTTGAGGTACCCCTGTGGATAAGCTGTGCGCTTTGGACACTTCTCCCTTCCACGACACTCTAAAGGATCGCCCAGAGAGGTAGGACACGAACCAGCAGAGGGCAGATCCTGAGATGTTCAGAGAGCGTGGACAGGAGGATTTGATGGTTGACTGTGTCAAAGGCAGCAGACAGGTCTAGCAGAAAGGGCAGAAGAGAAACCGGTCTGTAGTTTTCAGCCTGGGCTGGTTTAGTGTGGGTTTTTTGAGCAGAGGGGTGACCCGAGATTGCTTGAATGTGGTGGGGAACACACCCGTTGACAGAGAGGAGTTGATGATATGCTTAAGTGCAGCAGTAAGCAGAGAGGAAATGGTCTGCGGGAGGCTTGATGGTATTGGGTCCAGAGGACAGGTGGTGGGCCGAGAGTCTAGCACAAGCTTAGAGACTTCATCCTCAGTCAGAGAGGAGAATGAGTCGAGTGAGGCACTTTTGGTTGGTGCCTTCGGGCTGAGTTGGTCAGGCTCAGAAAACTGGTTACTGATGGTTGCAACCTTTTCAGTAAAATACGAGGCAAACATGTCTGGTGTGAACAGATTGGAGGGTGGAGGAGGTGGTTGAAGCAGTGAGTTAAAAGCAGAAAACATTTTTCTTGTATCTGTGGCATTGCATCTGATAATATGTTGTCTTGGCCGTTTTCAAGCTGGAGGAGAATGAGACAAGTCTTTGCTTATAGTCATTGAGGTCAGCGGACTGTTTGGATTTTTGTCATTTTCTCTCTGCTGACCTCAGCCCTGCTCTTTGCTCTCTTATGACTTCTGTGAGCCATGGGCGAGGGTGGGTTTGTGAGCGGGTTTGGACACCAGAGGGCAGAGCTTGTTCAGAGATGAGGTTAGTGTGGAGCAGAGTGTGTCTGTAGCCTCGTCTGTAGAGAGTGTGTCTGTAGAGAGTGTGTCTGTAGCCTCGTCTGTAGAGAGTGTGTCTGTAGCCTCGTCTGTAGAGAGTGTGTCTGTAGCCTCGTCTGTAGAGAGTGTCTGTAGCCCCGTCTGTAGAGAGTGTGTCTGTAGAGAGTGTGTCTGTAGCCTCGTCTGTAGAGAGTGTGTCTGTAGCCTCGTCTGTAGAGAGTGTGTCTGTAGCCCCGTCTGTAGAGAGTGTGTCTGTAGCCTCGTCTGTAGAGAGTGTGTCTGTAGAGAGTTTGTCTGTAGCCTCGTCTGTAGAGAGTGTGTCTGTAGCCTCTTCTGTAGAGAGTGTGTCTGTAGAGAGTGTGTCTGTAGCCTCGTCTGTAGAGAGTGTGTCTGTAGAGAGAGTGTCTGTAGCCTCGTCTGTAGAGAGTGTGTCTGTAGAGAGCGTGTCTGTAGCCTCGTCTGTAGAGAGTGTGTCTGTAGCCTCTTCTGTAGAGAGTGTGTCTGTAGCCTCGTCTGTAGAGAGTGCGTCTGTAGCCTCTTCTGTAGAGAGAGTGTCTGTAGCCTCGTCTGTAGCGAGTGTGTCTGTAGAGAGAGTGTCTGTAGCCTCGTCTGTAGCGAGTGTGTCTGTAGAGAGTGTGTCTGTAGCCTCGTCTGTAGAGAGTGTGTCTGTAGAGAGTGTGTCTGTAGCCTCGTCTGTAGAGAGTGTGTCTGTAGAGAGTGTGTCTGTAGCCTCGTCTGTAGAGAGTGTGTCTGTAGCCTCGTCTGTAGAGAGAGTGTCTGTAGCCTCGTCTGTAGCGAGTGTGTCTGTAGAGAGAGTGTCTGTAGCCTCGTCTGTAGCGAGTGTGTCTGTAGAGAGAGTGTCTGTAGCCTCGTCTGTAGAGAGAGTGTCTGTAGCCTCGTCTGTAGCGAGTGTGTCTGTAGAGAGAGTGTCTGTAGCCTCGTCTGTAGAGAGAGTGTCTGTAGCCTCGTCTGTAGCGAGTGTGTCTGTAGCCTCTTCTGTAGAGAGTGTGTCTGTAGCCTCATCTGTAGAGAGTGTGTCTGTAGCCTCGTCTGTAGAGAGTGCGTCTGTAGCCTCTTCTGTAGAGAGAGTGTCTGTAGCCTCGTCTGTAGCGAGTGTGTCTGTAGAGAGAGTGTCTGTAGCCTCGTCTGTAGCGAGTGTGTCTGTAGAGAGTGTGTCTGTAGCCTCGTCTGTAGAGAGTGTGTCTGTAGAGAGTGTGTCTGTAGCCTCGTCTGTAGAGAGTGTGTCTGTAGAGAGTGTGTCTGTAGCCTCGTCTGTAGAGAGTGTGTCTGTAGCCTCGTCTGTAGAGAGAGTGTCTGTAGCCTCGTCTGTAGCGAGTGTGTCTGTAGAGAGAGTGTCTGTAGCCTCGTCTGTAGCGAGTGTGTCTGTAGAGAGAGTGTCTGTAGCCTCGTCTGTAGAGAGAGTGTCTGTAGCCTCGTCTGTAGCGAGTGTGTCTGTAGAGAGAGTGTCTGTAGCCTCGTCTGTAGAGAGAGTGTCTGTAGCCTCGTCTGTAGCGAGTGTGTCTGTAGCCTCTTCTGTAGAGAGTGTGTCTGTAGCCTCATCTGTAGAGAGTGTGTCTGTAGCCTCGTCTGTAGAGAGTGCGTCTGTAGCCTCTTCTGTAGAGAGTGTGTCTGTAGCCTCGTCTGTAGCGAGTGTGTCTGTAGAGAGAGTGTCTGTAGCCTCGTCTGTAGAGAGTGCGGTAAAGACCTTTTGGGCAGGCATGGCAGCCATTACCTGGTTAGACAGCTGAGCTGGCTTGAGCGATCGCATGTTTTGGTGGTATGACACCATTTGTGGCTGAGGGAGTTCCAGCAGGAGATTGTGAATTAAATAAAGAAGTGGTCTGATAGATGTAGAGGGGTGACAGTCAGGTTTGCTGTCGAGCAGTTCCAAGTCGGGATTAAATCAAGAGTGTTGCCAGCTTTGTGGGTAGGAGGAGTTGGGACCTGCATGAGGTCAAATGAGGATAGGAGAGCAAGGAACTCTGTTGCCTGGGCTTTATCAGTGTGTACATTCATGTCTCCCATTACAATCAGTGGTGTTCCATCATCAGGGATTTCTGAGAGTAGCATGTCCAGTTCCACAACAAAATCATTCAGATTACACCCTGGTGGGCGGTAAATGATAGCAATGTACATTTTAATAGGAGCAGTAACCAGATTGTAAGATTGTGTGATATTCAAATGAGGAGTTGTTGCTCAGTGGGAAGAGTTTATTGAATTTCCAGGTATTAGAAATGAGGATACCTGTACCACCTCCACGTCCAACAGAGCGGGGTGTGTGTGAGAACACTGTGTCAACAGAAAGAGCAGCTGGTGTATTTTCTGGGCGGATCCAGGTTTCAGTAAGGGCAAGTGCCTGAATGTCTGACATTTTTGCAAGTGCTTGGATGAATTCAGTTTTATTCACAGCAGATTGACAGTTCCAGAGGCCAAAAGTAGTGATGTGAAAAGCAGTTCTTTTCAGTGTACTGAATCAGTAGAATCAGTTCAGAAAAGTGATTCGTTCAAAAGATTCGTTCACCGAATCGTTCAGTACTTCTCTGCAGCTCTGTCTGTGAATCAGATTTTAATAAGCTGAAACACGGCCGAACGTTTAGTTCTGCTCGCGATCGTTCTGAGAACAGCCGGTGGTGAATAATAAACCAATGAGCTGAGAATTTAGTTGGATAAAGCCACAGTTTGCAAACTGAAAGCTGCTAAAACAATCACATTTATTTTCCCCGACCGTTCTGTTCAGTACGTTCAGTACACAAATCACTCAATGACTGTCTGACTGAGAGGGAGAGAGAGGAGGCGGAGCTCTCATTCAGCTCGTTCACTGAACGAACTGAACGAGAGCTCCGCTCTTCCTCTCAGTTCGTTCAGTGATTCATGTCGGAGCTCTCGTTCAGTTCGTTCACTGAACGAAATGAACGGGAGCTCCGCCTCCGAGTCACTCTTCTCCTCTCAGTTCATTCAGTAATTCACGTCGGAGCTCTTCCTCTCAGTTCGTTCAGTGAACGTGAACAAGCGAGACTGCGAGTCACCAGCCTCAGTCACACACACACACTGTACTGACTGAAACATGATCGTTAGTAGATGTTAAAACAGTCAGCTGAGTTAAATTAAGTTGGATATAAAAGCCGTTTGTAAACTGACAACAGATATAAAAAGCACAAACATTTTCGCGACACCTAAATGTTAAATAATATATTTTCTACTTCCTCAATTTTGGAGACATGAGAGGAGAAGTAGGGGCAAGCTTTAGCGACTCAGAGCTCCTGACCGACTCCGTCCTGTTGGTTCAGTCAGTAGGTATCACTGACATGAAAGGGAGAGGGAGGGCGGGCTTTGAGAGACTCTTACGGTCTGGAGAGAGAGACACGAGACGGGAGAGAGGAGAGCGCAACTGAAGTTGAGAAATGAACGACTCTTTTCAGTAAGTGATTCAGTTCAGTTCGTTCACCCAGATGATTTGTTCGTTTTGAACGAATCATTCATGACCGACACATCACTAGCCAAAAGTAAGTGAAGGGTGGGTAGAAGTGGCTTTCTTAAGCAGAGCCAAGTTGTAAAGATTTCGTCGTCTATGACAGATGTGTCTTTTCCGGTTCCCATGAATGACAGAGATTTCTTTGTAGCACATGTTGCGTTTAGCAGATGACCAGAGAAAATAGGCAAAGTAGTAGTCGTGGATGGGTCCACGCTGAAGCGTCAGACACGTCCTAGTTTTCAGATCAGAGCTTGTTCTGCAGTTTCGGATTCAGACTCTTTTAAGTTTGGATTTTCGTGAAAATCCCGCCCCAGATTTTCAGCTTGCAATCAACAGAGGGTGTGACACGCGTCAACTGCCTCTCCTGTTGATGCTCAGAGAATGAAACTTAAGTCTCAGTCCAAACAAAGTCTGACAACGACCTACTATCAATATCTACTCAAAGCAAGTTTTGATTTACCCACCTAGCTGACAAAACCTTCCTAGTTTTCAGATCAGAGCTTGTTCTGACATTCAAACGTTTCTCTGTGACTACAGGAAGCAGGAGTTCAGACTTCCTGTTTTCCTTTAAGGGTCATTAAGAGAACAGAGTCATCTGCATACAGTTTTAACCTGACGCAGCTTACAATGACTCCTCCCCTCTGCAGCTGCTGGACTCATAGAGGTCACAGAGGAGAACGAGGAGGAGGAGCAAGAGGAGGAAGAGGAGGAACCAGGTAGGAGGATGCAATCAAAGGTCCTTTGTAAGTGCAGATGCTCCACTCTGTAACACATTCGAAGAATCAGTGTTTTTTTTATAGTTCCAACTGAACGAGGGCTCTTAGCCTGTTAGCCTGTTAGCCTGTTTGATTCATTTCAAATAGGTTTATTATTATTTTATTTCATAGAACTAAGTTTGTGTAAAAGGATAAGTGTTTAAACACTTCACATAAACAACAAGATAGCACACACACATTTCAAATTACACATCCAAAAGGCAGTGAAGCTTGTAAAACATAAAGAAAGAATAATGTAAAAAGTAAACAGTTTGTTCTTGAGTGTGATGGATGGAAACATACGGGCCAAATGAAATGTTGAAGTTAAGGTTTGGAACGGATTCTAAACGCTTTCACTTTTATTAAGTAAAGTCTAATAATGGTAAAACACGATGCGTTGTTTAACGTCAGGTGACCCGTGTGTTTCAGACACCGTGCTGCGTCGGTTCTCCAACACGCTGAGGTTCTGTTGGGTTCTGCTGTCGGCTCTCCTGGACTCTCTGACCACCTGGCTCAGCGGTCTGTGTCAGGAACACATTGACATCTCAGCTGTTCTCCGCATAGAGCGCTGCATGCTAATGCAGCAGGCTAAGCAGGTACAGCAGGCGGATATGATAGAACTACAACCAGGATGGAGGATGGATAAGATAGAACTACAACAAAGCTGTTTCCTGTTTCATGATGGTTTGTTTGTTTGTTCAGGGTCTCGTTCCCAGCAGAGACGCCATCCACCTCTACTACCAAGAACAGATGATACACACCTCCACAGAGTCTGGTCTGGACTCCATTACCCATGAGGCTGCAGGGGAAAACTCAGCAGGAAGAGAGGCAGAGGAAGGGGAGGGAGGAGTGAGTCCTGATACAGACAAAGAAATGAAACCAGGAGAGAATCCTGAATCTGAATCAGCATCAGGAGGAGGTCCAAAACCAGAACTAGAGTCAGGAATAGACGGTCCAGGTGAAACTACACCTGAAACCAAACCTGAACCTGAATCGGAATCAGGACCAGGACCAGGACCAGAACCAGAACCAGAACCAGAACCAGCACCAGAAACAAGAGCGGATGACCCAGAAAACGAAACAGCAGAGGACCCATTGTCAGGAGTTAGAGTAGAGAGGTCAGAGAGTTTAGAGGGCAACCCACCTGTTCAAGGTGAAGGTTACCCAGAATGCCTTGTGACTAACCGATGGCGACCCAAACTGTGCAGGATGGATAGAGTCAAATGTTCATGGTCCTCTTCAGAAGGAGAGACGATGAGTCGGACCCACAGGTTGGTGTTCATGAGGAACCCTAATGTACAGCTAAAGGTGTTGGCATGTTAGCATTTTAAGATAGCTACTTTGATTAGTGTTTAGTCAGTTGAAGATTATTTTAGCATTAGCTTAGCATTAGATCAGTTATATGGTATCAGTAATTGTCTCTGTCTCTTTGTACAGCACTGAAGATTCAGGTCAGCCACTTCCTGTTGACTCTCAGCGGACTCGAACCTTCATCGGTAACTCCCCCCTCTCCTCTCCAACCTCCCTCCCCTTTCTCCCCCTCCCCCCATCTTACAGTCTCAGTCTGGAACTGCAGGAGGAGGAGCATGGGAGGAGGAGTGGGGAGAGGTGTGACTTCCTGTCTGACTCTCACACTCAGGAACTGACAGCCAGTGAGCTGCTGAGGAACAGGTGAGTCCCAGGTGAGTCAAGGGGAACGATCACCTTCATCCTGCTGATGTTCAAGCTTCACTCTCTGTTTCAGGACATTCTACGCTGACCATCTGGAGGTGTCAGACCGTTTCTATGGAAACCAACACCAGCTGCTCCAGCTGGCCTACGCCCTCTACAACATCTTGGCTGCCAGGTAAGCTGACTCGTCAAAATAACGGGTGTGTGCAAGCTGCTGAGATACTGAGACGGTCCCTCCCTCAGGTCAGAAACGGTGTGTTACCTCGTCATCGTGCTGAACCACATGGTGTCCGCCAGCTGCCTGACACTTGTACTTCCTGTGCTTGTGTTCCTCTGGGCCACGCTGTCCGTCCCTCGGCCCAGTAAGACCTTCTGGATGACTGCTATCATCTACACCGAGGTGCCCACCACTGCACCGCTGTCACCTCCATCACTTCTGATCAGTCAGCAGATTGACTCCCTGTTGTCTGTCCTCAGGTCACCATCGTCATCAAGTACTTCTTCCAGTTCGGTTTCTTTCCCTTCAACCAGAAACTGGAGCTGGACCGCTCCAAACCCTTCCACCCACCCAACATCCTGGGCGTGGAGAAGAAGGAGGGCTACGTCCTGTACGACCTGCTGCAGCTGCTCACCCTCTTCTATCACCGTGCCATCCTCAAGGTAGACACACGGACATGCTCAGTTTAAAAGAAGTATACTTTCAAAAGTAACTTTGCTTCATGTTTGATCAAAACACACTTCTCCTCTACCCCCACAGTGCCACGGCCTTTGGGACCAGACTGTTTCTACAGAGCCAGACTATCTCCATCACCATGACAACCAAGCCACCTCAGGCCACAGTGCAACCTCTTTTGACCCCACCCACACTTTGCGACAGCGAGGCAGACAACAGACGCTATCTAGCTCCGCCCAGCTGCGCTCTTCTGCAGGTAGGAATTGAACACAACTTAACTACTCATACATTTAGAAAGACGTGATCTTGCCTGCCTCTTTTAAAGGCACAACACACCACAAACTCACACCTCGGTCTGTATAAAACATGGTCGTTGTCTCAGTGATGTCATCACTCCTACCCAATAAAAACAACCATGTGTAACTCAAAGATGCCACGCGCCCTAAATTCACATCACTTTAGGCCTTTATATGATGTAAACAGGTAAGTTGTATAAACCTTCAGCCTATGAGATCTGGAGACCATAACTTTTTTTGTACCAGGCTGTTGCCTGTGATGTATCATGTTGCCTTCACCAAAAGGTTACTGCAGCACACTCACAGATGGTCAATCATTAAGTAGA